ACTAACCCCAATCAGTGTAACAACCTACATGCTCTTATATTACTGTCCAAATGCGATGTAATTGATTCTAGCAGGGGTTCCCAATTTGGGGCCCATGGAGCAATATGAAAATATGACGTCGAGTTAAACTGAATTTTATCTCATCGACAGTACATACATGTAATTATCGTTCACATATCAATAAATTGGAATCTTTCCTTTAAGTATTCATGTCCTTTACCTATTGACACCATTACACTATGCATAACTAGTAATAACATAATCTGGAAAGGTGACAGTCACAGAACGGGGGCCATGGAGGTTATTGCATGTTGGTCGGTGGCCACAGAATGAAAGAGTGTGTGAACCACTGAAGTAAAGTATATGTATAATATTATATAATATTATATGTATAATAAAATGTATTTACAATATTCGCCACCGTTATCATTATTGATCATCACCAGTGATTATCAAGTTGTCATTCAACAGCCATCATCATCAGCTTCTTTGTATCCCTTAATGCAAAGCACGGAGAGATAGATACTCAGCACTGGAAAAAAAGATAAAAGGAGAGTGAATCCCCTCCAAATGCGATCGCGAGAAGAGCACGAGGACGCACCTGGCCCGAGGGGATGAGCGGCGCGGGCGGGCGAGGTCAAGGAGGAGGTCACAGGAAGATGGTCTCGAGCATCTCGGCCGTGAGGGTGCGGTGCGGCGCCGTCTCGTCCACCTCCGGCAGCGCGAACACTCGCTCGTTCAGGGAGTACAGGTACGGCGCGGACTCGCAGTCGAAGTTGTACCCAGTCGCACACGAAGAACGCCTGGTTGACACCGTGCCGTTCGGGCAGAGGAACGACGCCTGGCGCCCGTCCAGGTCGCAGTAGTGCCACGACTGGGGGAGGGAGGGGGATGGGGGGTTAGTTGGGTCAGTTGCTGTCTCTCTCTCTCTCTCTCTCTCTCTCTCTCTCTCTCTCTCTCTCTCTCTCTCTTCTCTCCTCTCTCTCTCTCTCTTCTCTCTCTCTCTTCTTCTCTCTCTCTGTCTCTCTCTCTCTCTCTCCTCTCTCTCTCTCTCTCTCCTCTCTCTCTCTCTCTCTCTCTCTCTCTCTCATCTCCTCTCTCTCTCTCTCTCTCTCTCCCCCTTTCTCTCACTCTCGCTCACTCACTCACTTTTAGACACACACACCTGTGTCTATATATATTAACTTATATATATATATATATTATATATATATAATATTATATATATATATATTTAGATACATACATACATACATACATACATACATACATACATACATACATACATACATACATACATACATACATACATATACATACATACATACATACATACATACATACATACATACATACATACATACATACATACAATACATACATACATACATAACATACACACACACACACACACACACACACACAAACACACACACACACACACACACACACACACACACACACACATATATATATATATATATATATATATATATATATATATATATATATATATATATATATGTATGTATGTTGTAATATACCTCTACATATACATATATATGTGTGTGTATGTATGTATGTGTAGGTAGGAGATGTGTATATATATANCAGGACACAACGAAAGAAGAAAAAAGAGACGGAGGAGAAAGATAAGAAAGATAAAGAAAAACAGGACACGACACAGTTACCGGCAGTGCCACCTGTCAGCGTTCGTGCCCGAGTGCCAGATCACACGTGCCCCGTTGAAGCCACTCGTGCCGGGACAGCCGCCAGCTGCCGGCACGAGAAGGGGCTGTACAGGCGCTGGCTTATGCTTACGCCGAATGCCATATGCTGTGACGTAATCTCTGGTAATTACCACCTGGAGGCTCGCCATTATGCTCAGAGCGCCTTGCTATTGCGGTGAGAATATGGGCTCCGTGCGGACATAAGGGCGATATTTGTTCGGTTATCTGCGTAGGAAGAATGTATATTACATAATGCTATTTTTAGCGTCGGTGTTCCGAAGTCATTTCTAATGCTTGCTTTGATCAATAACATGTGATAATTCCTTTTTATTTTTTCTCTTATGTCTATTCATCTCGCTACCACGTCGATACAAACACGATATTACACAGCATCCGATTTTTTTTTTTTTCTCTCTTTCTTTCTTTTTTTTTTCTTTATTTCTTTTTTCATTTTGACACCGGAGCTCGGAAGGGTGACGGGTAGAAACCGGGCGTGGCGGTTCGGCAACAGCTTGACCCGTGTTTACGTGTTCGAGGATCGGTTAACACGTGTCGCTCGGTGTTGACGTGGTGTCATGGATGCTGTTGTCATGTCGTTCGGTTCCACGTGCTTTATTCGTTTCATCGTTTGGGTGTTTGATCTTTCTCATCAGCATCATTCTCGTCTTCGTATCGCTTCTATAGCTTTATTCTCGTCTTCATATCCTTTCCTTAGCTTTATTCTCGTCTTCATATCCTTTCCATAGTTTTATTCTCGTCTTCATATCCTC